ATGTAATCTTCTTTACAGTCCTCACGTAATATCAAATGAATGAAAAGCTGCAAAACTGTTATTCTCCAAAGCATTTGAGATCTTGCTTCCTGGCAGTTGTCATCAGTTTTGGCTCCAATAAACTCTTATACAAATTCTCTTTAGGTTTGGACATTTCTTATGTCTACAGTTGTTTACTGGAAAACCAGTCAGGCCAACTCATGGCAGTGTTGATGAACCAGATCCTTGGGTCTTGGTTATTTTAGGTTTAAAACCACTTTTCCTGAGATCTTGGATCAAGTGAGTCCCACGAGGGATCTATGCAGAATATGGACAAAACCACTCAGAAGACCCTGAGCTGACTCTTTCAAATGGATGGGCCAGGTTTGCACTGATGCAATTCCCCAAACCGACAGATTGCAGGCTGTGGAAGTCCATTTACTCAGTTTAAAGAGGTCCTTGCTCCAACGGAGGGGCTGTATAGAGAAAATATCAAATGTGGCTGTGGAGTCTGAAAGTATTGGGTTGTCGGAAAAGGCATGACTCATTTTTGCAACAAAAAACATAGAAAAAATATGTTGTGACTTTTCTGACAACCCAATATTTTCCTTTTTTGTCCTCTGCCTTTTCTTCTCCCAAATAACAATTGAAAAACAAACAAAACCTCCTGGTATATATAAAAAAACACCCAGTCAATAAAGACGGACACGATAGCTGCCGAAAATGCCGTACTTTCCACTGTCATCTACCACCATTTTGACAGTTTGCTGCTTCAAGTGGAAGAAGACAGCACATTGGCTATTTGTCCTACATAGATTGGGCTATGCAGGTAAGATATGGGAGTTGTAGGCAGAGTTTTCAAGTTCTTGTTAATGGTAGAGGTTTCCTGTTTACACCTTTGGAGGGAAAATTGTACACATGGATTCCTGAAGTTCTATTTTAAGTGTGTTCTTTTCGTTCCTCATTCAACAATCACTGGGTTGGGCCCTGGGGCAGTAGGAATGACTGGGCTTGTAGGAGCTGGAGTCTAGTAGGGGAAAGTGGACCTGTAAAAATCACTTGAAATATGAGAGGCCCTAGGGGGAAGGTTTAGAGGTCAGGAAATATTTTTCTATGAAAAAAAATTACATCAAAGTTAAGTACACAGGTCACTAACCAAAAGCAAATGTCACCTTTGATATTACCATTACTGAGCCTTAGTAAGTCCCAGGGAGAATTGTAAGCCTTTTTCTATTCCTTTCAAGAGCCCTATAAAGTATTATTAGTATTATCTCCATTTTTAACAGATGAGCTAACAAGGCATGAAGAAATTAAGTAATTTGCCCAGATAGCCCTACTAGAGTTGTCTATCTAGCCTTTTAAAAGCACAGAGGAGTTGACCATAGTTTGCTTACTTTATATATGTAGGTTCTGTAAGAACCTCCAAACATGAAAAGAATTTTTATAAGAGTTTATTTGAGCCCAAAGTAGCAATTGCTGGGAAGCAAGGTCTCAAATGCTCTCAAGAGTGACCGTTTTGCAGTTTCTTTTGTGCATTTAGAATTAAGGAAGGAAGTAAGGAGGAATGCTTTAAGGTTGAAGAAAACAAGGTGGGGACTGGATTACTGGGTAGTTAACAAGATTATATTCTTTCTTGAGGGTCTGAAAAAAGAGGATTACTCTGGTATTTCAAAGGAGTGCAAACCTAGATGCACAAAAACACTGGACAGGGTTTGCTTAAGGCAAAGATAAATCTTTCACTAAAAAAGCTATGTGCCTGGGATGTGACTATTCACCATGACCTCCCCAGTGAGGTATTCATGACCCTGTGAGGCTCCTTCCCTTAGAACCCCTTTTCCTCCACAGCTTCTAAATTAAGGACCCTATTTGGAGCTATTTTTAATAGTTAATTGACACACATGAAGTTTAACACATCCATTTGTTATCTGTTTCCTCCTTTTTATTCTAATTTTTTTCAGAGTTTGCCTAATTTGTCTTACAATTCCCAGCATGCAGCATGGAGGCCTATCACAAAATATTTGTTGAATGAATTCAGATATTTATAAATTCAGAATGAAGAGTTATTTGAGCACATACTACTCTCCTGTGGCACATTTCTTGGTGCTTTGAAAAATTAGGTGTTTAATAAATGTTTGGGGGATAAATGAAATGGTTAATGTTTTTCATTTATAGGGGGCAGGGCTTGCCAATTCTAAAGACTGTGTCATTTCTCATTAAAATAAATAGGTTTTGAGTTTAGGGGTTTAGTTCATTCTAAATTTTGTGACTGGATTTTTCCAAGTTTGTATGTCTTCAGTGTTTTACTAATTTAGTGAATGTCTTTTAATACATTAAAAACGTTGCTGACTGCAAAAGAAATAAGAGGGTAGAATGATTTAAGATGACTGTGGACTTGATCTGGAAAGTTTTCCTTATAGATATGTTTAAAATGCACAGGAATCAATCAATCAATATCTGTGTCCTTATCCACCCTCATGTCTTTTGCTCAGCAAGATCAGGACTCTGATTACACTGCTAACCTAAAAATAAAAGGCCTTTTAAAGTTACTGAGAAGACTTTAAAAAAATCCTAGTAGACTTCTAATTTTGACAAATTTCTGAACATAGAGTTATTAAATTTTTTGAAATATCTTGTTAAGTTTCAGGCAGGACAAACAGTAAGAAATTTTAGAGTACCTGATACCCAGAATTTCTTTTAGGATTAATTTAGAAGTTATTTTGTCTTTTAGAAACTTCTGTTTATCAATTAAAGAATTCATTTCATTGTCCCTAAGATGTTTGGATTCCTCTTCTTATGAAATCTCCCTTTTGTGATAAACAATGTAACAGACAGTGACAAGAAAGGAAACAAAGGAGTATAATTCAGTGAGTACTTACCCATAAGAAACAGCATTCCTTGCTCCTGTGGCATCCTTTTGAATGCTGACACATGGGGCAATTGCCTCCTTGAGAGAGAAAAACTCTCCCTTAAGGGAAAAACCACTCCCAATCCGTCTCCCATAAAGACATTTGAACTTAACCAAAAAGGAAGGAGGTCTGACCTAGGAATGCTTCACAATCAAGGAGACAGCAGACCATGGAAGTGGTCAGCACAAAAGAGGCTCTGAAGGTACCATTCCTGGTTATAGGGGATATTGAACCATGAAGGTGAGGCCACTTTAGATCCTGTTCAACTACACCATATATGTCAACCTAAAAATAAAAGGCCTTTAAAAGTGAGCGGCAACAAGCATTATATTTGAGATCAATAAGAACAGTTATTCAAGAACATTACTTTGAAAGGCCTTTTATTTTTAGATTAACAGTACACAATTCTATTTAGTAGTGAACAGTTATGTTTAGAGTTGGTGCATATTGATTAAGATCCATGAGTTTAATTTTGAAGTATGTAAAGGATTCCATAAGTGACCTCATTTGTAATTGTAGGGGCGGAAATACTTTTCCTGTCTTCTCCTAGGTTTGATAGCTGGGTCTATGAAATCAACTGACACAACCAGCAGACTAAGAGAAGAAAAGATATACAAATTTATTAATTTTAATATTAAAATTAAGTATGTGAATGCACAAGGGCATCACAGGAAAACAAAAGTAAATACCCTGAAAAGAGTGAGATTTGGGAACTTCCTGTCTTAGTAAGGGGAAGAGGTGGGGGATGTGGGGAGTTTTGGAGAGAGTAATGATTTTTTAAGAGGGGGATGGGCCCTTAGAAGAGTAGATGGGAGATATGATAGTTTGTGACAAAGTTTGTCTGGGTGTCACTTCCAGTGTCCTCCCTAGCGATAAGAGTTAGGTTTCCCTGGCTGCTGAAATTCCCAGGGAGGAAATTTATAACAACTGTGTTCCTTTTAGATCTGTCCTTAAGCAGATAAGGGAGTTCAGAGAAAGCCTCTCTGGTTTTGCCCTTTTTCAAGTACCTACAGCTTAGAATAACGAATATACCAAAACAGCGTATTTTAGGGTGGCATGTCTTAAACTCCTTCTTAATCATCTGGGAACCTGTGGACAGTGTGATAATGAGGTTCCACAGCTGGATTTATAACATGTTTTCTAGCGCACTGCATTTCCTTCAATGGTAGCATGAGTAGTAGGTGTAAGATTGAGGTGGGGACTACACTAACATAGAGTTTGAAAAAGCCCTCTTGTAGATTCTGGCTCACCGCTCTTTCATCACTACTGTAATCCACATGTGTGTATTGTGGATGAAAAAGGGGTTCTATAATGAAACTGACAAGTCCAGTGAGGGAAAGTAAACTCATAGGATGATCTGATCATAAATTTCTAACTGAGTAGGTGATGCTGGGTAGTCACACTCCAGGCATATAACTTCTTTGATTTTTTTTTTTTTTTAGTAAAAGGTCTAAGCAAGCCCTGTCTATTATTGGCTTGAGAGTGGGGAATGATTCTTGATGAATGTTCATTGGTCCACAGATAAGTCTAAGGTTTTTGTAAATCAGACATTTACAGGAATCAGTCTCTCAGTTCTTAAGTTCTGTTCTTCTGAGGGTGCATTCTCCATTTTGTATCCTCCAGTTCCATTTTAGTGTGAAGTGTTGTGTTTTTTTTTTTTATAGAATCTTGCTGAGGTTGCATTTCTCTTCTGATACTCTTTCCAGCTTTCTGTGAAATTTTAGCCAAAGTGGGACTTAATGAGTGAGAATTTTGAAGTTTGAGAACTTGATAGGATTATGGTGGAAGATTTAAAAATGATTTATAGCAGAATTAAGAGAATACATCAGTTATAGCTTTACTGCTATGCTCGAGTTCTGTGCATTTAGGGACCTTTCACTTAAGATGAGATTATGGACCAATTAACTTTGTGAATATTTTTGTGTTCACATTTGTTTTGTTTGTGTCTTTGTTGTCTGTAATAGAAGCCAGTAAATGCTTAGCCTGCTTGGGGTTGGTCTTGGGATTTTAATTAGTTTCCATGATATCTAAATATATCTTGCCGACCTGAGCTACTGTGGCTACACTGCTTTCTCACTTAATTAGAATATAACAGTAACAACACTTTCTATTCAGTCCCAGAAATCCTGGATTGAAGGAGTGTTCGACAAGAGAGAGTGCAACAAAATCATACCCAGCTCAAAAGACCCTCACAGGTACAATTTTTAATTGCATTTTTCTTTCTAAAGCAATAGTACTTGGAAGACTGTTTGTGGAAACTTAGCGATATGACTTATTTAAAGGATTTGACAATATTTGTAAAGTGAGTATTTATTTTGATTGGTTTCTATCTTTGTCTTTATAAAAATAGTACATAATTATTGTAGAAATTGTTAGCAGATTTTCTGGTAAGAATAAGGACCTTGTCAATTTTGTACCTCACTCCAACCCCAGGGCCTACTTCGACAGTGCCCACCATATATAGTAGGCTCCTGAGAAACATCTGTTCAATGACTTAAATGAAATATTGAAAAGAAAAAGTTCATCATAATGACATCACCGTGATGGAGCCACTGTGAATATTGTGGTAGATTTTGCTTGGTGGTTTTATTTTTGATGCTCTTGTGCCTCTTAGTAAGAGGATAGGTTTCAGGGAACTATCTAGTGCTACATCTGTTCCATCGGGTTTGGATAAAAAATGTACAGCTTCTGAATATTGAATATATAAATTATTGTGAATGTTCTTTATCCCCAGATGAAGTGTCTGTGGAAAATACTAGGTAGGATATTTCAGGACATTGTGCTCAGATTATGCACAGTTAATTTTAGTTCTACTTTCCCCCTCTAGGCTTTTCGCTTGAGCAGATCATGAGCAGCAGAATGACATGATTTGAGTTTTGACTACTCTGAGTCCTTGACAATGCTTTGGAGGCTCTACTTGTAGAACAAAATTCAAAACGGCAGCCAGTAAAAGGGGCAGGATGAGTTATGAAACATTTCCTCAGGGTGATTGCGTCCATGAAATAAGATTGGGTGGTATTGCTCTTGGGGAAAAGAAATGGAAAGGAAAATAGAAGAGCAGCACAGTTGACCCTTGAACAATGTGGGGTCTATTTTCACTGACCACCTGCACAGTCAAAAATCCATAATTGATTTCTCTAAAACTTAACTATCCTCTATGTCTGAGGGAGATTGGTTCCAAGACCCCTTCAGCTACCCAAACCCGCAGATGCTCAAGTTTCTTATATAAAATGGCATAGAACATTGCATATAATCGGCCCATCCCGGGTTCCCATCCTTGGTTCAAAAAAACTGTTGAATTTGAGGATGTGAAAGCTGGGGATGTGAAAGCTGGGGATATGAGGGCCAATTGTATGTTTATTGAAAAACATCCATGTATAAGTGGATCTGCGCACTTCAAACCCAGTGTTCAAGGTTCAACTGTATTTTAATTAGCTGGCCCCTTTATTTTTATATTCCTTTGAGCATTTGGTCTTTTTTTTTTTTTTTTTTTTTTTTTTTTTTTTTTTTTTTTTTTTTTTT